CATTCAAGCATTCGTTCCACAATGAGCAAAATCACCTAAACAGTAGAAAATGATTTAGTAAGCAGATATGAGTTTTGATTAAGTAGCTAGCCGAAATGCATGTTAGTTGACAATCTAAGCATGAATAAAATATCAAATTGAAACTATTGACTCAAAGCATCAACACCCCAGGGCAAAGTCAAACTCAGTAATTGCTTGAACTAATCATCAACAAATGGCCAAGCGCTATCCAAACATAATATGATCAGGAGGAAATCCAATGCTTTAACTTAAGAACCACATCATACATTCAGTAATTTCATCAAAAACAGAAGAAAATTAAGTGCATCTGAAAATGGCTTCAATCTAAATCGAGATTTCATCCCAGTATTGAACTTCCACAACAAGCAAAATCAGCTAAAGATAAACTTAAACCATTGATATCTTTATTCGGAATATATTAAATCCGCTACCTACACAAAATTCTCGAGCATATGAAACCCCCTGGGGAACTCGATCATTATCGTATTTTAAACAACTACAAAAAAAAACACGAACTTTATCTTTGTTCACTCCAAGGGAACATCGATATCCCCATCAGAAATCTCCTGCTGCAGATCTTTAGGGTCTTTCCCATCAACCGTGCACCCGACAGAGACACAAGTTCCCAATATCTCCTTCACGGTTCCTCTCAGATCCTTAGCCATGGATCTAGGCCTCATGACTCTGGCAATCTCGATCACATCATCAAGGCTAATATTCCCATTATGCTTGATATTCTTCGTCTTCTTACGATCCCTTTCAGGCTCTTTCAAAGCCTTGATGACCAGAGCGGCGGCGGAGGGGACTACGGTGACTTTGGCTTGACGGTTCTGGACGGTAAGCTTGACGGCAACACGTAATCCCTTCCAATCCTTGGCGGTTTCTTTGGCAATGTCTTCACCAATTTTCTTGGGGGAGAGACCCAAAGGACCGATCTTGGGCGCGAGGGAACTTGCAGCTCCGACTTCACCTCCGGTAACTCGAACGAAGACGTCAACGACTTGGGTCGGGTCGAACTTCGGCGGCATGTTTAGGGTTTGGAATCTGAGAGGTTAATTAGCGAGCAAAGAGTGTGAATTTGTGCGGTGGCCAAGTGGAAATGTGCAGTGTTGAAGGGTTTAAAAAGGTGGAATATTAGGGGTTTGGGGTTTGAGATATTTTGGGCTTTAGAAATAACGATATGTCCATAGATTTTGGCGAAATCTCCGAGCTCTTAGGTTTCGTTTAGTTCACGGAATGTAAGATTACCAGTGAAATATAAGATTATCAGGGAATAAGATTATTGGAAATGTTATATTTTGTGTTTGATTGGTTTAGCAGGAATGTAAGATTACCGTGTTTGGTTAAAGGAGTAAAAGATTATTGGAATAGTAAGAATGTAACCGTGTTTGGTTAAATGAATAAAAGATTATTGAAATGTATATTTAATCAATTTGTCTTTATTAAATATTTATTTTTACCAAGTTAGAAAATATTTATATATTTTCTTTAAAAAATTAAATTCATAAAATTGATATATTGTTTTATAAAATTGAAAATATAAAAAGGTTTAATGAAAAGGTAAAATATTATTTTAACCCCTAAACTTCATATAAAATTTTAATTATAATTTTTTTTTGTAAATCTAAAATAGTTTAAGGATAAATTTGTAATTTAATCTTCGTATAATTTTTATTATTCAATGACAGAAAAATGATATTTTTGAAAGAAAAAAATTAAAGGCATTTTAGTCCAAAACGTCGGTAATCCAACAATACCTAAGGAAATGGAGGTAATGACATTCCAGGTAATATACCTCAAAAAATCTACTATCGGTAATAAAACATTATCGGTAATGAGATTCTCAGCCAACCAAACATGGGAATGTGGATTCAATTCCCATAGGAATCTCACATTCCTTAATCCAAACACCCCCTTAGTGTTTTTCAAGAAATATTTAAGAAAACGTTTTTTTAATAAAATTAAAAAATAATTTTTGAAAAATTAAATAAAAAATAATTGAAAATATAAAAACATAAAAAATGTTTAAAATATTCTCATTAAAATTATTTTGAAAATTTTAAAATAAAAAAATAGGATTTTAAATTTAAATTAATTTATATGGATTTAAATTATTTTAATAATAAATTTTGACATAATGATATCTAAAATTCTCAAACTTTTACAATAGAAATATGGTCCCTTAATTTTTTTACACACAATTTGGTCATTACATTAATTTTTTAATAATTTAATTTTAATACTTTTATATTTAATATATTAAATATCTTAATAATTATTTATATTTTATATTTTATATTTTAAATTTAAATATTTTTTATTTTTTATAAAAATTAATTGTCCTTTAAACTTTAAAAAAGAATAAATTAAGTCCTTGAACTTAGTCAAAAAATCAATTAATCTATCTACCACATCATCATTCATCATGTACTACAACAACATTATCGCGAACTATCACATTAATATTGAATATTGTCATGTATGCTATGTAAATTGTCATATAAGGGTCGTGACGGTCAGCGTTTGATTTCGTTAATCAAAGGATTACGATTTTTTCTCAGTTTAACAATCATATTGAGTGCAAAAAACAAAGTTCAAGGGCTACACTAATTGTTTTCCAAAAGTTTGAGGGCTTTATATACTATTAAACATATATTTTTTATTTTAATGACACTTTTTTGTTTTGTTGTTTGCAACAATATTTTGTGTGTTTTTTTTTTTAATTTAATTGATGTCCAATATGCATTAATATTATATTATTATTATAAAATAAAATAATTTTTGTGTTATAATTTTTTTATCAACTTTATTGTTTTATATTTGTATAACTGACATATTAAATTTACGTAAGAATTTTTTTAATAATTATATTATTTAATGACCCTTGTTTATCTTTATTTTAAAAAATAAATATCAAATATATTTTAATTATTTAATTTTTTAATTTTTTAATTTAATTTATATTAATTAAATATGTTTTCTAATTTTAAAAAAAATGAAAATAAAAATTATTTTCTAAAATTAAAAGACAAAAAAAAATTTAGAACCAAAAGAGTCTTTAGGGTCTGATTAGTTTTAGAAAATATAGACTATTTTTATTTTCATCGTTTAGAAAAAAGAAAACGTTAAAGAAAACATGTTTTGTTGTAAAATTGGAAAATGATTTGTAAAAAATAAAAATAAAATTAGGTAAAAATATGAAAACAAAGAAAATATGTTTTCAGTATTTTCATTAAAATTATTTAAAAAATTTGAAAAACAAGAAAAACCTGGGATTTAGATTTTTAACTTAACATGCATGAATTCAAATTTGTCTAACAATAATTTTTTTATTTAATGGTATATGCAACCCTTAATATTTTGCCCAAAAATCAATATGGCCCCTTAACTTTATTTTTACAATCAATATATGCCTTAAAATGAGTTTTATAATAAATTAATATTTTAGTATTTTTATATTTAATGTATTGAATATCTTAATAATTGTTTATATTTTATATTTTTAATTAAATAATTAAAAAAATAAGTCCTCAAATTTTCTAAAAAAAAATCAATCATGCCATCAAAATTAGCCAAAAAATCAATTATATCCATCTACCACATCATCGTCTATTATGTACTACCACAACAATAACATAAACTGTTATATCAATATTGTAGATTGTCATGTAGATTTATGAATTGTCATATAAGCGTTGTAAAAGTCAACGTTTGATTTTGTTTGTCAAATTGTTAGATTAATTTTTTAGTGTAAAAAAGTGTTCGGGCTACAAAAATTATTTTTCCCAAAAATTTTAAGGTCTCAATTACTATTAAATTAGGGATGGGCACGGGGCAGGGTGAGTTGGTTTTTTGGCGTCTTGACCTCAATCCGAAAGTATATATCTAAAACCTAATATTGTCTCACCCCAATTAATTTTAAGTTTTTCCCTCCTGAACCTGTCTCGTATTTTAGACTAAAATCCCGACCCTAACTTGACCCGATTCAAATATATTAATATTTTAATATAATTAAAATAATATATTTATATTTATTTATTTATATATATATATATTTTATAACAAGTTTTAATTTTAATAATTGAACAATATATTTGAATAATGTAAAATAAAAAATTCTTAAAATTCTATATATATATATATAAGTAAAATTTAACCGGGTCAGATTAGGCAGGTGATTTTTCACTTTAAAGCCGGGCCCGTCTCGCCCCAAAGTTATATACTATATAACCCGTCCGTCCTACCCCGTGCCCTAAAATTAAAAAAAATGTCCTTATAGGGTCAGATCAGGTCGAAACCCGTCGGGTTCGTGTATTTCATTGAACATATTTTTATTTTAATAACACTTTTATGTGCTATTGCTTTTTAATATTTTTGTGTGTTTTTAAAAATTTAATTGATGTCTAATATAATATACAATATTAGTATATTTTTATTATAAACTGAAATAAATTGTGTTATGAAATTTCTTATCAATTTTATTATTTTATATTTACATAACTCACATGTTAAATTAATCTAATGATTTTTTAATAATTATAGTTCAATTTATTTTTAATATCTATTTATTTATTTCTATTTTTAAAAATTAGATACCAAATTCATTTTTACTATTTTATTTTTGGATTCAAATTTTCCTTTATATTAACCAAACATGTTTTTTAATTTTCAAAAAACTGAAAATGATAACTATTTTCTGAAAAACAAAAACAGAACTAAACAAAATTCTCATATAATTTAAATAGTATTTTATAATTTTTATTAAAAATTAATTTTAATCATTAAAATTTTATAATTTAAATAGTATTTTATAATTTTTATTAAAAATTAATTTTAATCATTAAAATTTTATAATTTAAATAGTATTTTATAATTTTTATTAAAAATTAATTTTAATCATTAAAATTTTATAAATTCATCCCTCCTAAAATTTTACAAGTTTACCTAGCATAAAATAGTAAACAAATTGGATAGGCTCGAGTCTCATAAAAACATCCAATGCTTAAACAGTAATCGTATTATAAGAGCCTATAAGACACTACTAGGTTGAGAGAAATGGGGGAAAAGCAAGTAATTTATAATTTAATGGTTGCTTTCCCTCAAGGATATATTGCACTTTCCAAGTCGGAAAACAAAATAATAGCAAAACTCTTTTATATACACTGCCTGCTGCAATTGACAATACAACAGATTTGGAAAAGGCTGCACAAGGCTGTAACCGAAGAGTACAAACTCCATAAATTCATCACTGGGATGCCAATGACCAGAAATTCATTAGAAACGATGGCGAAATCGCGAACCAGCTGATGAAAGCCATTGCTGTAGCAGTCTCAAACCTGGTGCAGTGGTTAAAAGCACACCTGTCGAGATCGTTTCCGATCAGCACTGTAATCCCAGCAGATGAACAAGCTGCAGCAAATGTAAGGGTCGACGTGATCTGCATCAAAACATCACTAGGTTTGTTCAATTAGCAAATGAAGTTAACTAAACATTCCCACCCCAAAGCTAACCCACCAAAGATAGTGATATGGACACTAGCATGCACACAGAGAGTCATATAACTTCGGATATGGACACTTTAAGGAAAATGAAGGGTCAGGGTCGGAGTAACATGTTAACATGGGCATTGATAACAATAAATGTGACGAGCAATGTCAAATTATCGGCTCTATATATAGCTAAGTTGGCAAGGCAGAGGAGAAAATGAATCAGAATTAGATGGAAATTTCATTTGCAAAACCATAATATTGCTTATGAAATATACATCAACAAGGCTTAAATCAGTATACGTGTCTCTTTCTTTGACAATTAATTTTTTTAGATCCTTTGTTCTCTTTTAAAAGATCTCAGTATGAACATGAAGTGCAAAATGCAAGAACGAACATCATGCCGATTATGGTAACTTTAACCCTAAAGAACTAAAAGAGCTTTTAAAGGATGAAACAAGAACAAGCCAACAAGTTTCCTAGAGTTAATCCAGTGCTTGAATAAGCCTTGTTGTAGAGTCTGCATGCTGGATCAAGAGTCTCTTACCCCATCACCAATGGTGAACAAACAGGTTGCTTTGTAGTTCCGCAGGCTTCGTTTCACCAAAAGAGCGTAAATATCAACAAATGCAAGAGACAAGCTCCACAAACTTTGCAAGCCAACAGCAAGAACGAGGTAGCTGATGCATGAAAACCATGAAATATTCATGTTACAACTAAGATTAAATTCATGAAACTATCATCTCACATGTAACAGACAACAGTTTCGTCAAAACAGTTTCGAAATCTCAGCATATAAACCAAAAACCCGCATAGCTTTGTCACACACTTGGGGATAATAATCATCTTTTAGGTTTTAACTAACCTAACATGCACTGGTCGATAAATACAAGGATTAAATCTCAAACTTTACCAAAGTGGAGGGACAACCAGTATATTTTGACCCAGACATTAATCTAATGGAAGATGATGAAGAACATAACAATTTCCCTATACGTCTGCTTGAAAGATCAGAATTCTATACAAAAACTTGAAACTAAGAGAGTTGTAGTTGATTATAAAGCTAAAATGATAATCATAATAGTTTGGTGATGATCAAGGTTAACAAATTGAATCTCACTTTCATTAGCTCAAGTTTACACCTTATTGGTTGAAACTGAAATTTGCATTTAGAAAAATCAGAACAAAAAATCAAACTGAAAAATCCTCACTAACAAATTCAATACAACATAGAAGAAAAACCCAAGAAATCAAACAATTAGCTCAAAAGATAATTATAATAGTTTGCTGGTGATCAAGGCCGATAAATCGAATGTCTCTTTCATTAGCTCAAGTTTGCAGTCGATCAGAACAAAAAATCAGACTAAAAAAACCCTCACATTCAATACAACATAAAGTAAATCCCAGGAAAGGGAAAAGATCCTCACTAACAAAATTCTTAAACAAAAGGGGTTAATTACCTAAAAGCAGTGGCGGAGCGGAAATCACTGGCTGTGGCCATTACAGAGACGGAAATGACGGCGAAGCTGAACTGAGAAAGACGAAGGAAAAGGCCACCTTTAGTTCCAGGCATGCCTTGGACGTCCTTCATCCTCACTCTAGGACCACGCACTGCAGCCTCCGCCAGCGGTGGAGCCTCCACCGGGTGCACCGCCGGACGGCTGGCGTTCATTGCTTCACTTTTTTAACAAAAGGAAAAAAGTTGCGATTTTTAACGAATTGGAAGAGACAAAGCTCTATTTTTCCATTGTTTTTGTGGATAAAAAATGTATGAAATTAGAATTTGGAAAAGGGAAAATCTGGGTTTAGTTCCCGTGTCTTAGAACGAACTGTTGACTTTAGTTAAAAGTCAATGACTGTCCGTTGTTGGATCTGAGCCGTTTGTATCATGAACAGTGGAATCTAGTGTGTATTATACGGACCTGATGAAATCATGGAACCAGCATTGATTCTCTTTTACATTTTGGCCAATAACTTTGGAACGGTGATGCAATATTATTTATACACAGTTAATAAATTAAATAATGATATAAATCTAATATATTAACCATTTAATTTATTAATGATTGATAAATTTATATATGCCAGTACATCACATATCAAATTATTAATAATCTTACGAGAACCAGAGATGAAACTGTGTTAAAATTGTAAGGAAGATTAATTGATTTTATTTTAAATATAAGATATAGTAAAATTAAATTCGTAAATTAAAAATGTGATGATATAACAAAATGAAAGACAAGGATTAATAAAAATGTGATTAAATAAATGCAGAAAAAAGAGGAGATGAAAGTCGAGTGCTAACTCACGAGGAAGCCAAATGGAAACAACGCCCTTATATTTCTTCACGAGTTTCCTTTAGACTCGCTAACTTACTATTTTCTATTTTTTGTTAATAATTTTTCCTTTCAAGTTGACAACCACTCTTCATTCATTTCTTCGTCTTGATTTTTTTCTTCATGATTTCAAGGTTTTGTCTATTTTGAAAACTACATCAAAAACGTAAAATATATAATAATAATGGCGCTCTTGAGGTTGGGTTCCAAGCCTGAAGCATTTCATCGTGAAGGTCACTCTTGGTGAACTTTCGTTTCCTTCTCTTTTACATTGCCATTTTTTTTTTGTAAAAGAAAAATTTTATGTTCCTTTTTCGAATATGTTATAACAAGAATGTTTATACGATTCTTAGGCTTATATCTCTAGTTTCATGAGCTTCTAAGCTTCAAAAACGGCGGATTGGATTATCAAAACGTGTGATTTCTTGTTGTTCTTTATATGAAGGTTCTTCCCTTCTTCTTTTTTTCAGGATATGTACATCTGGACTTTCTAGTGATGTTGACATTTACATCGGAGAAACGTCTTTCCATCTCCACAAGGTGTGTTACTGCATCTATATTTCGTCTTGGAAATGGTTGTTTTTCGAATTGAGTTGATTCGATTCGATTCGTTTTGAATATCGATTACAGTTTCCGTTGCTCTCGAGAAGTGGGATGCTAAGGAAGCTTATTGAAGAATGTTGTACAGGTGATGGAGCGAGTTTTAGTTTGAGGCTTGATGATTTACCCGGTGGAGCCAAAGCTTTCGAGCTTATATCAAAGTTTTGCTATGGCGTTAAGATCGAACTCACTGCACACAACATCGTTAGCGTTCGATGTGCAGCAGAGTACCTCGAGATGACTGATGATAACGGAGATGAGAATCTCGTTCTGCAAACGGAGTCTTTCCTCGAGGTAGTGCTTGGTACTTGGGTGGATTCGATTCGAGCTCTTGAAGCATGTGAAGAAGTTATGCCATATGCTGAAGACCTTCACATTGTGTTGAGGTGCATCGATTCGTTGGCAATGAAGGCTTGTGAGGATCCGAGTCTATACGGCTGGCCTTTGGCGGGACGCGAGAGCAAGCAAAGTCCGGAAAATAATGGCTTATGGAACGGAATATCGACCCCGACCAAGACGAAAACTACGGGCGATAATTGGTGGTTCGAAGACGTAACGTTCCTTAGTCTACCGATATACAAGAGACTGATTTTAGCTATTGAATCAAGGGGCATGGGTCCTGAGAGCATTGCTGCATCAGTGGCACACTATGCTAGGAGGTATCTTCCCTTGGTGAATCGACAATCGAGCTTTGATGATGCAAATCAGGGGACAAATATTTCGAAACCTTCCGAAGCCGATCAAAGGGTTCTCCTGGAAGAGATTGTAGGGTTAATTCCTAACAAGAAGGGAGTCACGTCATCCAAGTTTCTCATTAGACTGCTTCGTACGGCTATGGTACTGCATGCAAGTCCTTCATGCCGAGAAAATTTGGAGAAGAGGGTCGGAGCACAGTTGGATCAAGCTTCACTTGTCGACTTGCTCATACCGAATATGAGTTATTCCGAGACTCTTTACGATATAAACTGCGTTCAGAGAATTCTTGATCATTTCCTGTTGGTAGAGCAGGCTTCAGCTATCGCCACTCCGGCTAACATAGTCGAGGAGGAGCAATTAATGAACGGATCCGATTCATTAGGGCCAATGACAATGGTGGCCCGTCTGATAGACGAATTTTTAGCAGAAGTAGCGCAGGATGTTAATTTCAAGCTTCCCAAGTTCGAGGCACTTGCTGCTAGCATCCCGGATTATGCAAGACCACTTGATGATGGCCTCTATCATGCAATTGATATATACTTGAAGGTAGTGTTGTCTCCCACGGCTGATTTCAATGTTGTAAATTCTTAAGGGTACGAGACCCTGATTTGTTTTAGGTAATCCGCAATTTGCAGGCACATCCATGGATTACAGATGGTGAAAGGGAGCAACTATGTAGATTGATGAACTGTGAAAAGCTCTCAATCGAAGCCAGCACACATGCAGCTCAGAATGAGAGGCTACCACTTCGAGTAATCGTCCAAGTACTCTTCTTCGAACAACTACGACTACGAACATCTATTTCTGGATGGTTCTTTGTCTCTGATAATCTTGAAAACTCAGCAAAACCTAATGGAAACTTAGGACTCAAGGAAGATGAGTCTCGTCCTACCATAGGCTCTGTAGAACATCATGCGTCTAATGGTGAGGATGATGTGAAGTATCGTGTTTCTGAGCTCGAAAAGGATTGTTCGAGTATGAAAGAGGAGATCCGGAAGCTGGTGAAGGCCAAGAGAAGTTGGAAGAACTTCACTAGAAGGTTAGGATTTAATAAGTCACAATTTTGTTGTTCGAAAAGATCGAAGCCTTCCGATCTTAGAGCAACCCCATCATCGGTAAACAGACAACAAAACTATGAAAATATTGAGGTGGTACCTGGAACTTTGAAGGTCAATTAATAGAAAAATATGTTTTATTTTCTGGCATTTGTATCATGATACCTTTTGATTTTATATAAATACAACAAAATCTTGATTCTTTTCAGAATTTTACATAAGTACTTCTATGTAATATCGACCATCAGAATAATTGAATCGAGAAAATGAAGGGACTGTTATCAAGCAAGTATAGGAAGAAATTCATTGATGAAAACTTGGTATGTCATAAATGGGGAAAACAATCTCAAATAAAGCATTTTGATGTCAGGATGTTCCGATCTCGAAAGAATAGCCAGGAACTGCAGAAGGGGAGCAGTTTACAAGAGAACAAAGATGAAATAAATACATAAGCTGCAGGAACAATTCTTTGTTCCTTTATCATGAAAGAATCGGTAATCATTTTTCGAAATGTTCTAGCAAGGTGGAAGGTCCTTTGGTGGTGGTATGATAGACTCTTCGGGTGATTTCCCATTCTCAACAACAAAGGCCATCTTTAGACCCCACATTGTATGCAGCTCTAGGTGACAATGCATAAACCAAACACCTGCAGATATAATCCAAAAAACCATAGTTAAATAAGCTGGTATCGATTTTCGATAGGGTCATTTCTGTGGAAATTTACCTGGATTATCAGCTCGGAATCTAATAGCTGTCCATCCTCCAGTTGGCACTCCAACTGTATTTCTCTCAGGAGGATCTACGAGGTTGAACTTCGCAGGGTCTTTGGAAGAATCGAAGTTCCCCACGCCACTTCCGACAACGAAAAAATTGAAACCATGAAGATGGAATGGATGTGACTCTACTGTGAGGAGGTTTGTGTCCTGTAATACCACCTCAATTGTGGAATTGAAAACCACCTTACTGAGCCTTGTTCCTAATGAAGTGCCGAGATTCGCTGTAAGTGGTGCACCAGTGTAGTTAAAAGGAACCGTAGGTCGGTCAGGGAAGTCAGTTTTGAATAATCCTTTGATGTTGAAATAATGAGCCTTCAGAAGACCAACATTTGGCATCACAAAGGTAATGTTGTTCAATGAAGCTGTGAGTTGTGTACCATTTTGACAAGTTGAACATGGGTTTGCCCCCAGACCAATTGTGTAAAATAGATGGCGGTCGACTTTAAGTGGGACGTTTGCAGGAAATTGTGGGGTGTTTAGGCTTTTAAGTCTATTGTTATAGCTCGAGGCGACATTGGTGTTGTTTGGCGCAGGTAATTTGGGCATGGATGGGAGGACTGTGTTTGGGATGCCTTTGTAATGTAGGATGCCTGTAACAGTTTTGTTATCAACAGGAACCGGTGCATCCATGAAAGGCCTGGCTGCCATGAAGTATCGACTTGGAGGCTGATCGGCTTTGATTAGAACATTGGTCGTTTGACCCGGAGCGATCAAGATAACTCTGGTTGTGAAGGGCTTGGTGTAGACTGCATCAATCTCTACAACAGTCATGTTATGACCGGCGATTGAGAAAAACAGTTCATCATTGAGTGCAGCATTGATAATCCGCAGCAGATAAGTTTTTCCTGCGTCAACCTCCATTGAAAACGTATCTAGAATTGAAACAAATCACATTGCTTAACATTAGTATATTTCTTGAAGATGAACATTTCTTAAAAACTGTTTTCTTTCTCTGGTCTAAAGCATGAAGCTGCAACTTACGTTTCGAAGAACATGGGAAGAGCGGCCCTGCTTTCCCATTAATCGTATGAGCGTCAGATGTTGGTGGTGGCAACCCCAACTTATTGGCTCCATTAACGAGTGTTTCAACGTCCGAATTCCACCATTCCCCTGCATATAAGACTTGTTAGATACCCCATTTCTCCAAATCAAAAAACTTGGAAATATTAGTGACTTTAACCAATTACAAACCTAGGATTATCTTAGTTTCTCTATTTGGTTGAGGGAATGGAAACATTGTTCCTTCTTTCGGCATAATGACAATGGCGCCGTAAACCGTAGCTCGTAGCCACAAAATATGCGCATGCCACCACAATGTTCCTCGTTGTCCCGTGACAGTAAAGTCATAGATGTAGCTATGTCCTGTCTTGATAGGGCATTGTGTTATGTATGCAGGTCCGTCGGCCCAACCATTGCGAAACTGCTTTAAGCCATGCCTGCACATGCACAAAAATAATAAGTTGATTCAACCATTTCCACATATATACACGTATTGTGCATAAAGATATGTATGTAAATGACATACCAATGAATGGAAATGTTATATTGTGCATAGTTTTTAACATTGACGAGAACTCGGTCGCCTTCTCGAGCATAAATGGTCGGTCCCGGGAACCTTTCGTTCACCGTGACAATCGGTTTCGCATGGCAAAGCCGGCTCACATTCTTGACTCGAATCTGAACCCAGAAGAACAAAGAAAGCAGTATAAAGAGTTATATAAAGCCCTTAACCATTCATTAAAAAATAAAATCATTCCAAATTAAAAAAAAAAGTAAACACCGACATCAAACTGATACTTCCTCACAGCAGCTTCGGCTGGAAAACTCAGAAAGCAAACAAAGAAGAAAATGCAGAGAAAAAATGACCCAAAGCAACTATCAAGCTGCATTGCCATTTTTCAAATGCTTGTGTGTTGGACTTGGAAGAAAAAAACATTGATAATTATAGTGTTGGAAATTGTTGGTAGTTCAGTGTTTTTATTTGATTGTGTAAACAAAGGAAATACAAGAGCTACACAAGCCTTGGAAGCAAGTGCTGAAGAAGTTGAGATATCCATGTATTGTCTGTTAACTATATGTATAAAAAGAATTACGTGGTTAACAGATAGGCCTACTCGTAGCTCACCAAAAGATTTTGCTTTGCCTTAACATATTGATTGCTTGGCTGCTGGTTTTGCCTACCGGAGGTTAAGACGGTGGAGATGGTGGGTGATGGATAGCGACCCGCCGTTGTGAGATCAAATTAGCTTTAAGATGGTTATCCCTGATAGATTAAAATGGCTGGCTGTTAATTCATTTAGACGATTGATTTGGTTTTCAAATTTTCATTGGGCTTTTAATTCTGGGACTTTAATTGGATGAAAAAATAACTTTAATTTACATTATTTCATAAAATTTCAAAGTTTTTAATTTTTTTTTTAAATTTCATTATTTTTAAAAGTACTTACTTTAATACAAAATTAAAAATAATTATAAATTAAATAATAAATCGTGATTAATTTAAATAACCTTAACTTTTTTATTTTTGAATTATAAATCTTCCTTAATATAGTGCAAACGGATTTTCATTTTTTTTTCTCAACAACAACAACAACAAAACCCAATTCTCATATGTATGGAGTAAGGGGGAGGTAGGGTAGTAGGCTGCCCCCAACGCCAGGTTGAGAGTAGCTTCCGTGGAAGACCTCCGGCAGTCAGAAAATTTAAAATATAGATAAAATTCAATGCATATTTAAATAAATACATAAATACATAGCTAAACAGTATTCATATGCAGTCATTAAAATCATATGTGCGTCTTTAACGGGAATTAATCTCTGCATAATAATCCCTGCGAAAGAATCTCTGCATATAGACAGAAACATAAGACCCGGCTAAATTTAAAAGAGGAAACATGAGGAGAATGATACACAGAAGTTAACGATAGCAAGCCCAGTTCTAATCCTTCATAAATACCAATAACAGAAACGTATAAAAAGTAGAAGTCATGGAAAATACTACAAAGACATTAAAAGAAGACAAAGATGATACACCCTATAAATGTGACCTACACTACTCGACTACCCTAGTCTTTAGCCTCCATATTTTCCTATCAGAGGTCATGTCTTCGGTAAGGGCTAAATCCCTCAAATCAGATCTCAAGTAGTCTTCCCACTTCTGCCTTGGTCGTCATTTCCTTCTGGCACCGTCGACTGTAATCGACTCTACCCTCCTGACCGCATCCGACGGTAGTCGCCTAAGGACATGCCCAAACCACCGTAGTCTTCCCTACCTCAATTTTTCGGAAACAGACACCACCCCCAAGGACATCCTAATCGCAGAGTTTGTCGTCATATCCCACAGAGTCCTACCACATGTCCATCGAAGCATTCTCATTTCTGCGGCCCCAATCCTCCTTACGTGATCCTTCTTGGTTGCCCAACATTCTGATCCATACAACAGCGCTGGTCTTATTGCCATTCTATAAAACTTTTCCTTAAGTTTTAGAGGCACCTTATTGTCACACAGAACTCCAGTAGCGGCCCTCCACTTTAGCCATCCCGCCTTTATACGGTGTGTAACGTCATCATCTACACCCCCATCTTTATGTATCATAGACCCTAGGTACTTGAAACAATCCTTTGAGGGGAGAACGTATCCTTCTATGCATACTTCTACATCTTCATCGTTTTGGTTCCCATTGAAGTTTGAATATAAATACTCTGTCTTTTCAATATTGATCCTTAAACCTTTTTCTTCCAAAGCAGTCTTCCAGGTAGCCAGTCTACTATTCAACTCAGCTTTTGTTTCAGCAACTAGGACAATGTCGACAGCGAAAAGCATACACCATGGTACACCGTCTGGTGTCGCACAGTAGATGTCGTCCATAATCAAGGCGAAGATGTAAGGGCTAAGAGCCGACCCCTGGTGGAGTCCGATTTCCACCGGAAATGCCTCGGTGTCGCCAACTGTAGTCCTGACGTAAGTAGTAGATCTACAGTACATATCACGAATCGCCCGGATATAAGCAGTTGGGATCCGTCTCGTTTCCAAAGTCTTCCAGATCGTATCGCGGGGAACACTATCATAAGCCTTCTCAAGGTCAATGAACGCCATGTGAAGATCTCTAGACTTTTCTCTATATTTCTCCATAAGCCGTCGAAGTAGAGGATATATTTCCCTATATTTCTCAACCATAATGTATAATTAGGGATGATAATTTTGCCTGTCCTGATTCGATCGAGGTCATTTTTTTAAATAGAGGATTTAGATGAGTTTATTATAAATTTTTGGATAAGTTACATGTTTAGTACTTAAACTATCAGTTTTGATCTGTTTTAGCATCTAAACTTTTAATTTTTTAAAGTCATACCTAATGTTTAGTCTTTATTTTGTTTTAGTACCTCGCCGTTAAAAATTTAATGGGTGATTTGCAAGTGACACCTTTTTTTATGGCTAAATTACATCATTCATTGCTAAACTATCTTCTCACTCCTATTTTGGTCCAAGTTTAATTTTTTTTAATTTAATTACTTAAAAATTACTCCTAATTTAATCACTCTAACTTTCAAATTTATTTTTTATTTTTAATTATATCTTAATAAAATAATAATAAAAAATATCATGTCACAAAAATTATTAATAAAATAAATTAGAATGATTAAAATAAGAGTAATTTGAAAGTTGAGTCATTAAATTGAAATTTTTTAAACTTTAGTACCAAAATAGGAGCGAGAAGATAACTGAGAGATGAATGATGTAATTTACCCATAAAAAGGCGTTGTCGAAACAAAAGCCAAACCTTAAGTATGGTTTTGAAAAAATTGAAAGTTTAGGTAGTAAAACGAATCAAAACTAATAATTTAGTACTAAACCTATAATTTATCCTAAATTTTTTAGTCTTCTTCCGTCCCATCATTGTATATTTACTAAAATATTTTTAATTTTATAATTATTGTTTGGCTTAATACAAAAATAAGTGTTTAATCTATATCTCAAAATATAATTTGGTTCCTAAAGAATTTTTTACTAAAAATATGTGTCTAACGTTTCCAACGTTACACTTTTAAGTACCTAGACCGTAACAAACATTAAATTTAACTGTTATTTGACACGTGTCACGAATATAAAATTTCAAAAATCGTTTTATTTAAAAAATTAATATTATAAGAAAAAATCAAAAAAAATCCCCAAATTTTACATTTTCATCGTCAGTTGGTCACCATCGATCCGTGGTCATCACCGTTAACACCTTTAAAACATCTCGCCGCCACTACCACTACCAAAAACTAGTCCCCACCCACCTTGAAACTACGTCGATCGTCGTGAAAAACATCGCGAAGGATCGTCGGATTTTTAGGTTTTTCGTTTATGTTTTTCGACGATTTTGACGACTACAGTTGTTTGTATGTTACACGACCTCCACCTTTGTGTTCCTCATCATGCTCCGAACAAAACCCGACCGACGATAACCGTTTGTAGTTGGAGAGGGAGGACAATGGGGAAGAGATTTGATTTTTTTTTTATAAAAATAATAATTTTATAATTTAAAAAATTAAAAAATATAACTAGTAAGCATTTAAAAGTGTAACGAATAAAACATTAAACATATATTTTTAACAAAAAAAAATCTCTAAACACAAAATAGGTATAATTTAGATACTTATTAATAATATTTTTATATATGAAATATTTTATTAAGAAAAAATATATTAATAATACTTTTTAACACGTGAACATAAAATTATTATAAAATAATAATAATTTAAATATTTGTTTTGATAAAAAAAATAGAGAAAATAACTTCAGTGACCCCAAATGCCTTATAATATACGATTTTAACCAACTTTTTTTTGGATTTGCAAAAATAACCAACAAATTCGCAACGCGAACTCCTATTTCGCAACACAGTTTCCAAATTCTCAACTCTAACATGGAAATTTTCGCAACGTGAATTTTATTTTCGCAATGCTAATTACCGATATAGGTAAACAAAACTATTTGCAACGCGAATTTCGTTTTCGCAAATCGAATTTACCAATTTCGCAACTCAATTACCCATATTAGTAAACACGCTAGAAAAAATCCGGTCAAAAATCCGAATTCGCCAATTTGAAAACTGAGTTGCGAATTTGGCAAATTCGTGTTGCGAAATGTAAAATCTCGCCTCTTAAAGAAAAAATCATTTCAACAGTTTGTTTGTTTGGTTAAAGTTAAACGAACGAACGAACATGAACATAGCCTCATTCGTGTTTGTTCAATTCATTTACAGGCGTAGGTTTAGCTGAGTGATTCACAACGCGAATTTCGTTTTCGCAACGCTAATTACCGATATAGGTAAACACAACTATTCGCAACGCGAATCTCGTTTTCGTAATGCGAATTTCGCAAATCAAATTCGCTAATTTCGCAACTCAATTACCGATATAGGTAAACACGGTAGAAAAAATCCAGTCAAAAATCCGAATTCGCCAATTTGAAAACTGAGTTTCGAATTTGACAAATTCACATTGCGAATAATTGTGTTTACCTATATCGGTAATTAACGTTTCGAAATTCGCATTGCGAATTTGAAAACTGTGTTACGAAATAGGAATTTACGTTTTGAGATGTTAAATCGCGTTGCGAATTTGTTAGTTATTTTTGCAAATCCAAAAAAAAATTGATTAAATAGTATATTATAAAACATTTTCGGTCATTGAAGTTATTTTCTCAAAAGAATATTACAAAGAAAATTAGTAATTAAAATCAATTATTAAGTAATAAATTATTTTTTAAAGATGTTAGTATTAAAATTTGTTTCCAAACACAAAGTTAAAAATGAAAAAACTAGAAATCCTAATTTTTTTGATTGGTTTGAAACAACCATTTCTACCATAATTTTATTTTTCAATTTTTACCTATTTAGCATTGATTTTACTGTCGAAACGAACTTTTTATATGAAAGTGCTTTTCAAAAAGTCACGTCAAACA